GTAGTGCTTAATGGAGTAAAACTATCACTAAATGACAGTGTTTAGGAAGTAACTTCTGCCTAAGCAAACAGCATTATGGCACGTGCTTCAAATATTCTCACCCTCTTCTTCCTTTACTCACGGGATTTTCCTCTCCATTAGAAATAAGAAGATAAGAGCAAAGAAAGGGTTGTAATTATTGCAATGAGCCTTCCTCAGCTCAGTTCCTAATAATAAGTGCAAGTAAATACACACATGCACACACTACGCCTCAAGTGTTCTCAAGCTTTTATGGGACATAAAGGATAGCTTCATGATGGTACTTACTCAAAACATGAAATGTAGAGTTACTACTTGCTTCTGAAATCATGGCGAATACCACCATATCAAGAACCCAAAAGCTACAGTGTATAAGAAATACTTAAACCAAACCTAAATGCAAAGCTAAGTGAAAAATGTTACAATAAAATACAGCTTAAAGTTTCCTTACACTATGAGCTTCCAGCAAAGTCGATCTATCAGCCCACACAAATCTTGTGACTAAAAAAAGGTGCTTCTTGCTCATAATTTAACCTAACATGAATGATAATAACATATCATCTTATTTACAGGAAAAGCAGGAGGTTCTGAATGCCTACATGCTGGTTAATCCCATTTTAAAAATCTGTACTGTAGAAGAGTAATAACACATCAGTAAAGCAGATTAAGAATCATCTGACCAACAGATCTCAAAATGAAGTAACCAAAGGGAAATAACTGCTGATTGGAAAGGCTCATGGCTGGATTTAAGGAGTGTCATCAGGCATATTTACTCATAAGTAAATACAAACTCACTGCAAAATAAATTTGCAGACAGCCAAAGGTTAGTAAGACTGGCCAGTGAGGACAGCAAAAAGTCACAGGGACCCATGTGGTGTATGCTAGTAGAAAGGTACGCCTTAAAAGTAACAAAAAGACAAATAAAAGCTACCCAAAATTGTAATTTATATTTTCCTGTTTCGAAAATGTACCTATTATTCATAAATTTGGGGCTAAACAGAATGGAGAGGCATCTTCAGAAGCAAAATAAGCAATTCCAGATATGGAAAATAATGCCCTTGATATGACACAAAACTAAAATCAGCATCTTCTAGAGAACACAAAGCACTGAAGGAAGGAATACGTAAGTCTGCAGTTTTGAGAAAAACTTATAATACAAACTAAGCTTTAGTGTTTCAAGAAATATGTTTGTAAATGAATCTGTTCTATTAATGTAAAATGCTGGCTTCATCTTTTGATAGTTCAGATCTTGAAATACAAGTCACAAAAACTGTTAGTGGAAGAATTTCAACATCATGATCAGAAAAATGAGTTTAACTTCTATATGGCAAAAAGTATTCAGATAGTAAAAAGTACACAAAGCTACTGGAAAAGTCAGTATTACTCAGTCTCTGAAAGCACAGTGTGGTATCGTATTATTTGTGCCTGCAGTGTCTGTGAATGCTGTGCTTTTGTTCAGTCAAAGTCCAGGATAAAAGATAAAGTAGAGCTCTTGGAAGCAGTTCAGACAGTAAAATGATTTGCTGCAACACAGATGTTACTAGCAAGTTGAAAATACCACAAAAATAGTTCTGACAGTCTCCAGTTGTGACATATCTTTGGAAACTGATGCTAACAGGAATCAAACAAGCTCTGGAGAATCAACTAAGCAGACTGTGGAAAACACCTTGATTTTGAAGTTTACCTAAACACAAACACAAGTTGAATTTTCACCTCTTTCTCTAAAGAGAACTGTACATGTACCCCGAGGAAAAATTTAATTTTTGATTCAATACTTAAACAACATCAAAACATACTTTGTTGTATGAAATATAAATACATGTAGTTTATCCAGTTTAGAAAATGCTTGCTAAGCATGAATAATTTTCAAACACAGAAAAGACAGAATTATGAAAAACAAAAAAAGCTGGCATGAGAAAATGGCAATACATGTTGACTTTAATTGCAAGTAAAAAGAACAAGTCCTGCAAGTTTATTTACAAATACTACAATGAGTAACAAGCCCAAACACTGCTTGCTAAAAAGCTCTGGAACACAGCAGGAAAGTCCTAGGAAAAGCCAATGGCAGTGGAGGGCAAAATAAAAATAAAACTGGCAATATAGCACAATGGGCTTCTTTTAAAAAAAGAAAACAAAAAATCCACCCCCAGTAAAATGAAACCAAGCAAGAAAACAAGTGGCAAATTGCTCCAGTTCATGACATTGCTTTTCAAGAACAGTCTAGTGCACAGCTTTTTAGATTCAGCACAGATGCCACTGCATGAAATTTTATATCTTGAGATACCAATATGGTCAGTTGAAATTACTGGGATTTTTTGGCATTAAAATCTATCCACTGATGATTCAGGAGTGCCTTTTCTTGAACATTTCAGCTTCATGAACTATCACTAGAGGTACATTTTTGCTGGTTTACTAGGAATACTTTAGAGTAGAAAACTACTTATTACTTGTTCACTTGGGTATTTTGAAGAATAATTCTCTTGCTGCTTCAGTTTACAAAAGCAATGAAAACACAAACAAAACAATTCTTCCTACCTAAAATTCAATCCACCCTCTTCAGCTTTCTAATAGGCCTTTCAGAAACTGCTTGAGTAAATAGAAGGCTTTACCAGGTGCAGGAAAATTTAACACTGCTTTTTCAGTCAAAAAAGATTGTCAAAGAAGAAAATCTCAGGAGTTAAGTAATCTTGTATATAAAGGGTAGTGTAGGGATACGTTTAAACAGTGACTTTCATCTTGCAAAAGTATAAAGCAAATGTCAGTTTAAGGCAACGCAGCTAAACAAAGCTGGGAATTGAACTGATAATTGAAATAAAAAGATGTATAGATTAAAATAATCTTGAACTGTGCCTATAAGAAAATCTCTAAGCACTATTAAAAAAAAATTAGCTTATACTATAACAACTTACTTTTAAATATTTTTTCTAATCCATCTTCAACATTTTTACAGAGAATATAATAATTTAGAATCATTTTTAATAGCCACTATATAAGCAAGTAATTTCTACTTGTATGAGACATCACAGCCACCACAAGTTAGTGAAGGAAGTGCTTTCACAAAAAGAGAGCTACTTCATCCAGTAAAAGAAAAGAGTAGTTAACAGAATGACATGAAGGAAAAAAATCCCACTCAGCTTCTCAGTGACATATACTTGCAGTACTGGACTGACAGTGTAGATCACTTACATTTATTTATGTCAATCATCTGAAAAAAAAAAATACAGTTTACTAAATGTACGTTTTTTAAAGTTGGCTATTTAAAATATACAAATAGCATTTGGGTGACTTAGACCTTTGAGATACAGAGCCATGGATAAATCAGATGAACTCCAATTTTAGTTACCTGAGGTTTCAACTCCTTGAAAACTTACACTATCATACTTTTTCCATGGCTCAAACATCAAACCTAGGGTAAAAAATGTAATTTCATTTATCTCTTAAGTTTCAAAGTGTGTGTGGGTTCCTCCATAGAGGCTGATTTCATTATTTTGGAGTCTAGTGGCAAGTTCTTGTAATTCAAGACAAAAAAATACATTGGAATTGGATAATGCAAAGCTAACTGGTATTACCTTAATGCACATCATACTTGGACTCCTACAGTATATCTGACCATCAGAGTATGTTTAAAACATAGAGTTCTACCATGAAAAGACATAAAACAGCAACAGAAGAGCACACACTGGATCCCGGAGTGATGCACTAACAGCAGCATTTATTTTCAGACACCATTTTTCACAATATTAACTGGATGACACTGCAAGTAGAAGAGAGTCTTGAAAAAGTTAGCACTTGTATCAGTGGGGATTGAAAAGATCTAGCCAGCACTAGTCCTCCTGTTCTCAGTTGTGCTGTGAGAACATCTAAGGAAGACTTTTCTTATGGATTTCTCTCCTATGTGCCACATTCCAACCTAGCCATACGCCTTCACATTCCCTACAACCACTCACACAGGTACCTGCAATTGTCCTTCAGATAACCTTCCTCCCACATCTGCCTCTACAGACCCTGACTTTGTCCCCTCTCGCTAAAAGCAGATTATGCTCCAGCCACTGCTCCATGACTGGTGCGCTCACAGGCCTGCTGGAGAAGTCACACAGACTGCTAGGCTCAACTAATGCTTCTCTACGCGGCAGGACATTCACTTGGGTTTTTTACCTCCTCCACCCAGCTTTCAGTTTTTGAAGACATTTCTGAGACCTTTAGCACTGCCCAGAGAGATAGAAATATGCCTTATTACCTTAAACCAAGCTAAAAAGAAAATTTGTTTTTAGACATCTCTGATACAAACCACATCAGAAAGTACCACATTGAAAGCTGTTGAAAATATCAAACTTGTAAACCATGAGAAAGATACGTATGTTGCTTAATGTTAAAACATAAAATGTGTTCAAAGAATGGCTTAATGTCATCAGCTGCTTAAATAACACCAGGATTAACTTTTATTGTTATGGTTGAAACCTGTAGGACTATTCGGGTAAATAGAATATTATTGTTTCCTTCTAGATGTATTCAAAATTGCAATCCTGTGATCCTTTGACAGCAACACTGAGAAAAATAATGCAGACCTTTTTTATAATTTTGTAATGAGCTACATGCTATTTTACACCTTCCTTCAAGTTCTTGCTCCAGGTAGAAAAGTTGTCACTCTCAAGAAAAAGCATCAGTCCTCAGGAAAAAAAGGTGCTATCTGAAAGGCATAGACCCAAGAGGAAGGAAAAAGGCTTACATAAATCATGTTTAGCTTCTCACAATGCTTAGCACAAGCATAATTTTAGAGGGCTGACTACTGATAACTGATTGCTTGGTGCCAGCAGTACACAAGAAAATGTGTTAACCTTAAAGCTGCACATATCCTCTATTTTAATGCTCTGAGCTTCACAACCACCATTCTGCTTCAGACCTTTTTTCCTTTGCCTGACCCTCAGCTACATTTATATTATCCTAAATACAGTGCACTGACAGTAGTACAAACACCTACTTACAGGAATCATCCAGTTGGCCAGGTCACCGTACTTAGACACCTGCATAGCTCCAAGCATTGTCAAATCGACATGGCCTCTGGCAACAGAAAGTGTGTAATTAGCATATCATGTTCAAGTAACAGCCCACAGATCTTAACAAGCTTTTGTTCACATTCTCATTACATCAATATAAAGACAGTGGAATACCACAGAGGTAGCAACCATTTTGTCACACGTGTAGCTGGCGTTATTTTTCCCCTTTAGATGTATTGCTAATGCAAATTTTTCTGTCTGCCTACTGAGCCTCAAAAATGTTATTACTTTTGTCTGGTTTTGGTTAATTGCATGCACAGTCAATCAGCTCTGAACTCATACTTCTAAGTGCACTCCTTCACATATTTACATGTGCTCATTATCTTTTCGGAGCCATTAGGATTTAGTGTTTGTTTGCATCCAACCTCCTTCCCGAAAAACAAACAAAAAACAGGTGGAGATGGTGAATTTCCATCAGGGAGGTGGAATGAGGATCACAGTTGCAAGCTGAGCAAAGAGAGTATACAGAGTGCAAGTACAGATTAGATACTTGGAAATGACCAAAAACTAGTTGTTAAAACATAAATGTGTTTATATATGGCCAGGTGGTGGTAGACACGAACATCACTACAGTATCTACTAGTTACAGTGTTTTTCTATTTCCAATGCTAGACCTAATCCTCTGTTAACCATCCCTGATTAAGTCCACGATCATTTTACAGGTTGTTAAATGCTAACCCTATTTCAAAGAATTACTAATGAGTTCAGTCACTGACTCAGTTTATTCTTTTCATGTTTCAAAAGATCAGTGTTTGTGTTGTTACGTACCCTCTTATCATTGCAAATGATTCATCGCTAGAGAAATAGGAAGAACCTGGAAGAACAGTGACTGTCTCCTTACCTGTAAAAGAAATAAGCTACAGTATGCATGTATTTTGTCTCTCTGGCAAACAAAGTCACAGCTATTAACCAAGAAATAAGTTTTTTTTTTTAATTGAATTCCTTTGGATTCTGTACAGCTATGGACCTGATAACGCTTACTATGTCACATATAAACATTAAAAAATCAGAATGAGTTGTGAAACAGTTTTTTACCGTTTTTAATGACAGGATTGCCCACTCTTTGATCACCAGCAGTTCCAGGCAAGACATCACTGACACCAGAGGCTAAGAAACCTCTGTGGACTTCAACTTTCTGCTCTATCCACAGAGAAAGTGAGAGATAACTCTCTTGCGAAACAGAGAAAGAGCACCTTAAGGAGACAGGGACGTTGCAAGAAGAGCAAGTAGACAAGATTGAACAGTCTGGAGTGATAATGATGTAGAATACAGAAAAATAAATCACAGATCTAGTCTACTCTTGCATTGTTAAAGTGCACAAGAAAATGCGCTTCTGTGTGCTGTACTGTTCTATGCCCAGTGCTTGGGTCAAGCAATGGAGCATGCATGGAAGTGTCTTATCTTGAGTCTGTCCAGCCCTCTCTTTCCTCTCCTGCCACCACTTTGAATGAGTCTAAGCAACAACCACGTGTACAGAGTGCCTCTGGAAAGGCGTAAGAAACACAGCCGAAGGTGTAATTATAAACCAAGCATGGGAAAGCAGAAAGAAAAAAAAACAAACAACAAATTAAAGACTTTAGCACCAGATGACACTGTGAAGAAAAAGTCAGTGTAACAACAAAGGGGAAGAAGAATGAGACATCATTATACAGTTTCCAGAAAACAGGGGAAAAGAGACAATTAATTAACTAAGAGGATGGGAAAAGGAAAGCAAACACTGTAGGAAAGTTAAAACAGAGATCAAAGTTACCTGTTTTAATTTATTGAGTCCACTTGATGTGTATTATATGCCAAGACATTGTATGGAAATTAAATTTTGACACAAAATACTACAGAATTAAGGTCATACAAGCGGTCTTGCAGTCTGATCACAAGAATTTACCATGCAAACATCTAGACCCAAGCGGAAAAGACAACACAGCCTACAAGCAGCAACATGGAGTGAGAACCCTGGGATAAAGCGAAAAGCTAATGCAATGCTGAGAAGAAAGAGGCACAGGCTGAGGACCACAGAATAATTGTAGCAAGAGCACTGTATTACCCACTTGAAAATGCTCTCAGGAAGTCAGCACTTGTAAATATTTCTGCTCTAAGACAGTAGTCTACCTTTCAATTACAGTGAAAATAAACTTCATGTGAGACATTCAGGAAATGGGACAAAAAAATCCCCACATATTTCAGAGAAACAGAATTACATTTGCAGACCAAAAATTGGCAAAAGCCCAAAGTGAGACTGCATTTTGAAAACGTAGATTTTGGAGGCTGACTGGAGACTGTTCCAGTCTATAAATACGAACAGAATTAAATCCTATTCCTTTGCAGTTTGGATTCTATTTTCTTCACATTTCTTTAAATTTGGCTGGAAAGCATCTAGAATGGTTTTAATCCAACTAAGTGTCAGAGGGATTTAGCAGCTTCTGTGTACTTCAACAATGACAGCAATAATAATTTTGGTGGTAGAGCTGAGGTTCACCTATCCTGTGTCCTGTTTACTGTTGCTTCAGAGGAAGATGTGAAAGTGCTTAACACTTAAGTACCAATACTAGAATAATCTGATTTCCATGTTGCATTCTAACCTCTTATGTTAGCTTCATCCTTGCAAGATTATATCTTCAAAAATGTTTATCAACTGTAAACAACAATTCAAGACCATCTTGACATCCACATAAAACCACAGTGATTTTTCAGAGTATTTATCAAGTTCTTGGATATTCTCTCCATCGTCACTCTCTTAACATGTTCATTTCTAATGCATGCATATTAGAACTTAAAATCTAATATGCATGCATGTAATTTCATCTTTTATAGTAAATATTTTTTATTCTAAATAATATTTTCCTTCCAATGACACTTTCAATATTTTTTTTTTAAAAAGCACATTGATTTCAGTTCAAGCCGTATCACAGCTCTCATGTGCCTCTGACATTTTCCTTGATACAGCATATCACAACAGTTACCTAGCTACTGGTGAAATGGTGGACTCAATTCCTTAATAATTTCTTATTTCAAATCAGAAGATGGTCTTAAATAACTCCTCATTTAAAACATAATTCTGAAACAGGGGCAATAACGTAGCAGTATGATAATGGTATCAATTAGTCAAGCCAGGTAGCAATGTTTCAAGTCAATGAAAAACTGCTAGACTGTACCTGATACTAAATTAAAAGCTTGTTTGATGTCAGTGCTTAATCTCCTTGGACTTTTCAGTTTAATTGTACTTGCTAAAGCTGAGAAAGGTACTGTCTGTATAGACAAATATGTACATACCCATACATATATGTGTCTGTATGTATATGTATACATAAACAAAAAATATAAAATGCATAGGTTTTCCATATAAAAAAAACAACTCTAAGATGTCAGCTATGGGTCTACAACCTATACCTTAACATCAATGTGAATTTGTAAGGTGCCAAGGCCTGCTTCTGATTGTCAGAATGCAATATATAGGTGTAATTTTACATAGAAACAGAGAATGGGTGCATGCACAACTTTCCATGACAAAAACAGAAATTGGACAGACCCACTAAACCGTAAAAAGTGTAAGTTTTCACACGGCATGGCTGCTTCTGAGGTGAAATGCCCCAAAAGAACGGGCAAAACATCATGTGGTGACTGGCATTTTCCCCCTAATGTGGAAAAGCCGCCTGCAGCAGAGCCCTCCAGTGTGCCAGGTTCAGGTATGGGAGCTCTGTCCCTGTGCCCCGGCTACTGCTGTCATCCAAACGCAAATGAGTTGCATTGCCGGCAACTCACTAGCCAGGAATTAAACAGGCCATTATATACAGGACTGTTTAAAACATGTCCCAAATATAAATAATTGAAAACCATTTTCTAGAAGACACAAGGTGAAAAGCAGCAGGAAAAAAAATCCATATTCACATACAGGCTTCACAAAACAATCCCACTTCTGAAAAGGAAGATTTGACCCTTTAACGCTTGGCCTGAAGGAGGGTTTCCTTCAGTAGCTACTAAAATGCACCAAAGCATACGCTGTCTAACTAGAACACTAAACACCTCCATTGATCAAAACCAGTCTTTACTTAAAAGAAGACAAATACATTAATATTTATATGTCAATAAAACAAGAGTCTTAGTTCAAATATTGAATCAAAAGAAAAATTTTAGATTAGCAATGAATAATCATTTTCCATAAATTACATTTATTTGAAAGATTTTACCTGCATTAATCAGGTCTGGATCTACTTCATTTTCAAGTGGATAAGGACCCTGACAACAACACAAACATATGTCAGCTTTATATTAAAATACCTTTGAGATACAATTCATAACTGCTTTATTATTCTAATGCTTATTACTGAAAAAAAGATTATCAAAGACACATATTTTTTTATCTTTAGCAGAACAACACCCCTGACAATACAAGCCACAATTTCCATCAACTAACATATCAGGACTGATTGACATACTGTTAGAGGCTGTTAGAATTACTAAATCACCAGGAAGTGGGGGTTTTGTTTGGTTTGAATGGCAGACATTTTCCAGAAAAGGGTATGCAGGTGCAACTTCATAAAGCCGTATGACAGTGAAAATAATATTAACTTTAAGCTTTACTTAAAACTATGTTTGCTAAGGCTTACAAGGCTTGGTCTTGCAAACTACTGAAGGTTCTGACTCCTTCCAGCAAAACATGTACTTAAGCACATACTTAGCAACGTAGCACTATAATCCTGAAATGAGCATTTCCTTAAAAACTTCCCTTCACTATAATGAGAATTTTATGATCATGCAATATGGCATATATTTGAATATGTTTTTTAGTAAAATTATAATCAGGTTGGGGATGGGTGGGGAATAAAACCCATGCACTGCCAGGTATCTACACTGCAGTAAGTGACCAAGATATAATCTTACCAAACCCAGGACTCCATTTTCACTCTGTAAATGAACAGTTATGTCTGGACTGATGAAGTTACTGGCCAACAGTGGGATTCCAATACCCAGATTAGCTGAAGAGAATTGGTTAAGGCACAAACAGGAACACACGTACTGCAAACTAGTAAATTAAAAAAAGTTATCATTGTACTATGATTAGATTAGAACTGTTCACTTCACACTCAATTTCATTTTTAGTTAGATGGCTCACATTTGCGATGAATTATTTTGCCATTTGGACTGTCCAACTGCATTCTGTCAAATGCTTTACGTGATAAAAACCCCACAGTGCAAGTAAATTTCATTTCCAACATATGTAAATTTTTCAGTAAATTCTTGCACAACATTCAACTGCTAACAAACTCTGCAGATATGCCTGGATAAAAACTCTAGGTACCTGATGCCTTAACATCTACTTCAAAGGGTGTTAATAAAATGAGAGAATCCCAGGCTTTGGGAAAGACAATGAGCATGGTAATTAACCTGTCTTACACAAAACAGCTGCGGCTGTTATTCTTGTGAGTCGTCACTTTAACTTACAGCACAGCTGAAGGATACCATACATGCCATCTTCAAACTCTAATGCAGCCCGTCTGATGATCCTCTCCCTCACATTGTCTCCTTGTTTTTGTTTGGCTTTTGAGTCTTCAGGCTTTCGGACTGATAAGCGCTGCAAAAGAAGTAGCAATCATAAGAACAGATTAGAATCCAGATTCTTGCTTCTCAAGACACAAAAGCCTGATTTGTGATTGCACTGACATACTTGGTCTAAGAATAATGTTATTTATCCATCTTCTACAAAAAACCCACCTTTTTTTTCTATCAGTTCAAGCTTATCTACGCCAATGGAGTCATCAAATATCCCCAATGATAGCCTCAGAGAAAAATCTTTTTTCTTTGTCTGTATTGCCAAGGCTGAGAGAGTATGTGATACATGGACAACTAGTTAAGAAGGCACCAAGCATTAGTACAAATACTACCAAGTCTAAGATTCATTACCCCAGAGATACCTAAATAAACTTGTAAAATGCCAGCCTAAAATACAAATATTGTTCTCTTTCTGCATTATTTTAATTCAATAGTGCTATTCTAGATTTATATGCATGAGATGGACAAATGCCAGTCATCTAAAGATACTGAGGGCTGAGCAACTAAGTTTTCAAACACAGATCTGTGTAATCTTGCATAAATCTGCCTAAACTTGTTTCCTTAGATTTCCTGGCCTTAAGTCCATGCTTTCCAAATCACATGTAAGTCAAAATGCCATAACATTCAAGAAGTTTATAAAACCATTTTGTAAATTATTGTTTACATAGATTATGCTATTTGCGCATCTCTCCCATGCATATAAAACTGCTATGGGCAACCTCATGTCCTGCACCCCCATATGTCTTCACATCCTCTCCTACTTCAGGCTATAACGAACACATCATGCAAAATTATTCTCTGTTCCTTTTCATCACCAAAAAAGAATTTTTGCACTGTCTTTTTTCCTTATGTTGGGAGTCACTTTCCTCTCAGGCAGTCAGAAACAGTATCAACCCTCTTGAACTTCCGCAACTCTCTTTTTATGCCTTGGCTATGTTCCCTAGAATTGCTTCACTTGTAAATTATGGGAAAAGTCAGAAGAACCACAGAGGGTTTCTCTGCAGCAAAAATAAGGTTGGATAGAAAGTATGACTTGCACTAAAGGGACAACGTCTGAGTGAAATTAGGCAAGAACTGCTATTTAAAGACCGTAAGAGTTATGACAGACTAGCTTCTCTTTATTCTTCATCTCCCCTCTTACCACTTACACTGAACACTTCCCTGTGTACAGTCACTTAACTCATATGTAATCGTTTATAGAAGAATAAATAAATCTGCCATTTCCTTCCTATACTTCTATTAATGAGAAGCGCCACTTCCAGAATTACAAAATTACACAAACCAAATTAATCTTTGTTACAACTTTGCTGTGCAGTTTATTGTAGCTTTCCCCCCCACCGCTACACACTTCCTTTTTTTCTTAAGCATACAGGGAAGGGGGCAGTTGACTAGGTAGGTGTATTCACTTATGCAGACAGGCCAAAGAAAATCACGTGGTTTTGTATAAAAGTCTTCCCTGGACAGAGTTGCCTCTTTGGCAGTCAGCACTGCCAAAGTGCAATAAGAACATCAGTTTAAAAATTATAAAACGGATTTCTCTCATGAAAGCTGAAAACTTTTCCGTGAGATAATTACATCCATTCAGAAAAAGAAAACAGGCCATTAATTGCAGTCTAACACAACATGCCCAAAGAAAGAATAGAGAAAAAGGAAAGAGGTTTGACACATCTGTTTCCAGTCAAATACTCAAAACCATGCAATATGCTTTTGCAGAATGAACAGATGGAAGGAAAAAAAAAAAAGCTTTTTAACCTTAACATTCATAAAAGAGTTTACTCAGAGAAAAGGCCTTGTGTGACTTTCTAGGTGTTTGTGACTTGATTTTAGTAGTCAAAGTTTAATTATTACAATTCCTTGCTGCACCTTTTTTTTCAAGATGTCTTTTTCCTTGTGTCATGTATCTCCCCCTCCACCAGCTCTTCTGATGACATTTTGAATAATTCCCACCTCCACAGTATGGAGACACATGAGAAATACAGACTTTAAGCACATTAACACATCACCAAAATGAACATAGGGACAAATGAGTGAGGCAAAGCTACAGAAGCAAAGAAGAAAAATTACATAATCATCATTTTCTTAGATGCTTTCAGTGATGGAATGCTATTGCTGCAATTTTTAATAGCTATTGACATCTTTTATTCAGACCAGAAATGCCACTGGCTAAAAAAGTTCCTGATTAAAGAAAAGGAAAGCAAGGTTCCAGGAACTTTGCAATGTAACATAACTCAACACACCACACAAAAGGGGCTGAGACTGGCTCTACATGACCGTTTCAAAAGCTCTCCAGTAGAAAAGTATCTAAACATCAAGTTAGCTCTTAGTCTAGGTGTTCTGCTTGTTGTGTCTACAGAAGGTGAACTGAGAAAAGAAAGGATAATGAAGTAGCATTTTCCACCAGATTTTCAACTGTGTTAAAGCCATCCGAGAATACAGGCAGTTGCTCTAAAGTATTCAGGGACTGAACAAGAGAGGCTGAGGTACAAGCTCGGTAAGGCTTAATTCTCAGGTCCCCACCTAATTACTAACTACCGAAGTATTTACCTAAGCTCCAGTACTTAGCAAAACTTCGATAGGTCTTTCTCACACTGTTTTCTCAGTGCTAAGACTACGTGTTCAGAGTAAAACCCCTGTGAATTCTAAAATACACCCCAAACTGAAAATACATTGTGACCAAGAAGCCCAGCCACTTACTTCAATTCTCTTCTCAAACTTCTCTCCTTGTATCAGGCGATCAACATAGATTTTGGGAACATGAATGTCTTCTGGGGCAAATGCTCCTATATCAACAATTTCTTCCACCTACAGAGTGAAAAGGGTAAGTGAAAATATTTAGAAAAAAGTATTCAATGAGAGATTTTATTAGCAATGATGTTTCAAATATTAAATACATAGTGGATCAAATTAAGAAAACTAAGGAATGGGACAAAATAGATACATCCTTTAAAACAGTCTATTTCAAATGCTTATATCTTTGCTCTTCTTTCAAAGGATATTTCTACACACAAATTCAAAGTAGTTCATGTTTTAACAGCCCAGTTTGTATGACCACCTTGAAGAAATATACCATGTACAGTTACATCAGAGTTGTTTGTACCTACAAAAAATTTCCATCCAAACAGAAGGAAACAGTATGCTGATAACAAAATGTCAAAGGACAAAGCAGAAGTATGAATTTCAAGGATACAAGCACAGAAGCTGGCTTGAAGTTTCTCCATAGTGTACTCAAAAATAAAATTGAAAATATTTGCACTGTAATAATTGATTGCAAGAAAGATGTGAAGACTGGCACTGACCCACACATAGTATATTTTAAATGTCACCTATTTGGAACACCACAGACATTGGGGTATTCCTTCCTGCTATGTCTGATTTCAGGGTGGTTTAGCTGGAGACCCTGCTACAGCCAGACGCCTGCAGCACAGACCTTCAGTGATGTCTGGTGCTTTCCCTGAGGAGTCTCAGGCACAGACAGCATATCTCACTCTGCCACAAAACAGACACTACTGTTACATCTGTACTTGCACCTGACTGCGGAGAAAGTGTGTAATGTTAAAGCAACAGGTTAAAGACAAGATCTGAAACAATATACTAAAAAAGAAATTAAATAGTTTCCAAACTGCTTTATCCCCAAGAACTAGTTAAACTTTCAGGAATATCCAAAGTCCAAGAACCCTAAAACAAGTCCCAGGGTATGACGTGTCAGTAGGGGTACATCACTTAGCAGCCATCACCAGTGAAGCAACATTAAAGAGCTTAAAATTCAATTTGACATCCTACTGTTACTGCACAATGTGATCAATAATAAAATCTATAGTACATCTGATAGACAATTACCTTCCTACTGTGCCTTGCAGTGTGACAATAAACAAACAAACAAATCTACCCTAAAAGCAGCAGAGGGAGGGGAAAAATTAACAATCTAAAGACCACAGGATCAGTTTCAGATGATCCCTAAAAAAGCCCCGGCTTAAACGGACAGGAAGAGACACGTTGCAAAATCTGTAGGCAAAGGTGGTAAGGAAGAGGCAATAACAGCCACAGTGACACACCAACCTCAGTGTTCAAAGAGAGCAAAATCACACATCCAGAAAGTCCTTATCCATAAGATAAGGAGAGACAATATAACAACATTTAAAAAATTTGGAATACTATACTCATGAAAAAATGGTTCAATCACATCCATGCCCCATCTCACTTCAAGTTTATTATTTTATACATGAGTTTTAAAATTAATGTAGAGACAAAGTCAAACACAGGGTAAAATCATAGAATCATAGAATCATAGGATTGCTGAGGTTGGAAGGGACCTTTAAGATCATCAAGTCCAACCATTAACCTACTCTGACAAAACCACTTCTAAACCATGTCCCCAAGTACCATGTCTACCCTTTTTTTAAACACCTCCAGGGATGGCAAATCTACCACCTCCCTGGGCAGCCTGTTCCAATGTCTAATAACTCTTTCAGTGAAAAAAATTTTCCTAATATCCAATCTAAACCTCATCTGACATAACTTGAACCCATTTTCTCTCGCCCTATCACTTGTCACCAGGGAGAAGAGGTCAGCCCCCACCTCTCTACAATCTCCTTTCAGGTTGAAGCACACAGCTGAAGCTCACTGCAGTCTCAGTGCAGTGGCTTACTATCAGAATGTGCTCAAAGGAGAGGAGAAACAGGAGACAAAGACTTTTCAATGAAGACACACGTAAGCAGATGATCTGCTACCAGCAGAATTCTCAAATTCACCTTTTCTAATTACATTTGCCTGCACTCATGAGGTGGAAAATTAGGCCTGGGGAATACTAATTGCTACTGATTTGAACTTTCTCATGAAAAGAACTACATTTATTTGCTGCAGTAGCTGAGATTATAAAACCAAAATCTTTGCTGGCACAATTCAACCAACTTCAACAGAATTATGCTGTCAGAAAGCTTGACACACTGTATCTCTCCCCCCATAGAATACACAGAATAAATGATTTATCCAACAGTAAATTGCTGGATTTTGTTATTAGTCACCCCATTCCCTTAATTGGTTAGTATTTTGTCTCTCTGGAAACAGCAGTCAGCTGCTCACAAGAACCATCAACATAATTATTTATTATTTCAGTATATCATCCTATATGAATGTAACACAGACAGTACGTATTCTGTCCTAGGGATTCCAAACGAGCCTAAGGAACCCTGCAGACTGGAATGCTTTTGTGTTCACAGGCAGTCCCCCACTATTCTTACTGGTTTCAAAACGTGTTCCATGTTCTACCATTACGTGCAATAAGCATCAAATTTAGTTAAAATTAAGTATGTTAAAATATCCATATAGCAATAAAATGGAATTTTGAAAAGGGATTAAAAATTTGCATGTAATGCCTGCAAGAATATGTATCATCCAGTTCTGCAAGGGAAATTAATCAGCATGCTTATATCAAAAAGAAAGAATTTGCACAGAGGAAGTAGAAATGTCATCTGATTGCTCCAAGTCTCTCTCCCAACTCTGCTCATGAGGAATTGGATGATACTCCAGCTGAGACACTGCAGATGGGCTGCCAGCAGCCTCCATCAGTACTGCCAGCACTGCTTCCACAGATGAAGCTATGCCAATGAAAAGTGAAACCGGGAAATCTGATGGCTATGGGAATCAGCAACTTAACTTTCTGTGACCACTGTAAGACATAACACAAGCATCTTTCTAGATAAGAATGATAATGCAAAAATAAATAGTTCCATAGCTGGGCATATTCACTTGCCTTTCAGGTTTCATATTCCTTTATGAGTCTTTTCTGTAACACATCCACAGCCTAAGCCTCCATCACCTGCAGACATGCAGGACAGCACTTGTATTAACAATTAAAAGGATGTGTGTGAGTTTTCTTCCTGTTCTGCTCTCCATTTGGATGACAGAAGGAGAAGGATAGATATCCTTCTGTTCTTCCTTCTCTCTTCATACCTTATCTCAGGATTTATTTTGTCATGTACAGACGAATCACTGTAAACATCAAAAATCATCATACGGCATCCCACCCAAGAGACACAAAGTCTGGCAAAGCATAAAGAGGGAAATAATCAGGGCAGACCACCTCCTGCACTTTTGTTAATTAGCAAATCAAAATACTTTGGTACTATTTAGATAGCCTTGATCTATGTGTTCATTTTAAATCTTAACTTCACCGACATGCTAGGAGATAGAAAATGTTTACATCTTTGCTACACAGGTAAAGCTAAAGAATAACTTCAAGAGACCATATGGGATGAGTTCCCTCTTCTGAGAAGGCTCTGATGCACAATTCAAAAATCTTTTCATTGTTTCAAGAGTTTCACAGTATTGCTTTTCTTCCTGGGTATAAATGTTCTTGCAAATCTTGTCTGATTGCTGACAATGGGAGCAGAATGAATAAATTCAATCATTTCTGAATACTGGTTTATCTGCAAGTACACCCAGAACATAAAAGCTGTTCTCCGCTATGATTCACAAGAGCCTTCTGCCACTCCTTTTGGTATCAGCACTCATAGAATCAATGGTCACTTATTTCACAATATCACTTCCTTCTGTAATTTACATCTACTTTTCCATTTTTAAAGTAGTTTGATTTATTTTTGCTCATGGAAATTCAGCTACTCTTCCACAGTTTTATCTGAGAATTTCTGAAGGCTTCCAGAGAGAGAAAGGAAACCTCAAAGGTTTTGGATTTCCAGTAAGAAAGATAAAAACACTGGTTTCTTGACCAAAAATTGGCAAGGAAATTACAACAACACAACTATTCATGACAAAACACTTGACAATAAAAAGGCTTTTCCTTTGACCATTTACCTTTTAACCTATTTCTGCATCCTAGTTAGGTCCTTTATGACACATAAAATATTTTCAGCTGTTTTAGTTTTAAATCTCGGTTTTCCTAAAACTAAGTTATAACCAGAAATGACAATATAATGCCTTATTATTGGAAAAAAAAAAAAAATCACAAATGTGCCTGTGGGTGGGTGAGAGAGAGAAAGAGACTGGGGGAGAGAGAGCACTTAACCAAACCTATGCATTTTTACATAGCTTATTTTTAAACTGGCTTTATTTAAATATTTCTATCACTATCTTAATTATCCTAGTTCAGTTCTTCAAACTGAAATAATAAAAGTAACCAGCAGAACATAAATAGAATAAAACATTACAACTGGTCCAATACCCAAAACAACAGAAGAATGAAATCAGATTTAGCCTCTTAGATGCTCAAGACAAACTCAGTGGAGCACTTCTTCAGTTCACTACTGTAAGAGTCAGGATGTCACTGGAAAATTCATTGCAACATTTATACAATCATAAGTTAAAAAATTTAAAAAAAACACAATAAGGGCTATGAGAAATATTGTATGTCTGGTTCATTCAGGATCACAGAAACTGATCAATCATTCACCGTGGCTAATGACAAACAGGGAAAAAAAAAAAAAAGGTCAGTCTTAAATTATTTAGACTGAATTTAATGAAAAGCTTTGATATTGTAAAACAGTGGAATATACTCTGTAAACAGGTCACTGGAAATTAAGAACACACTACACAAACTTACTGGGCCACAGGCAAGAGCAAAGCAGGTTAATATTTACTCATTTCTGCCTGCATGAAGGGAGATGAAACAGAGGATCTTCTGAGTTCAGTTCTGTCCTTTTCCAATGCTAATATCAGCCAGACCATGAAATTTCTACTCCTCACAAACTCCCATAGTAATGAAATGACAGTCAGTCAGTAGCCATCCTGAAGAGGAGACTTTTACAGCTTTAAAAAGCAATCAACTACCAAGTAGTCTGATTAAGGCA